TAGGTCTTTTATGTCTCTGGTTAGATTTATTCCTAAGTATTTTATCTTCTTGGGGGCTATTGTAAATGGTATTCCTTTGGTGATCTCCTCTTGGAAGTTCTCTTTGTTGGTGTAGGGAATCCAACTGATTTTTGTATGTTTGTCTTGTATCCTGACACTTTGCTGAAATCTTCTATTAGTTCCAATAGTTTTCTTGTGGATTCTTTGTAGTATTCTGTATATAAAATCATATCATCTGCAAATTGAGATACTTTGACTTCTTCCCTACCAATTTGGATGCCCTTTATTTCTTTTTCTAGCCCTATTGCTCTGGCTAGGTTCTCCAGCCCAATGTTGAATAAGAATGGTGATAAAGGGCATCCTTGTCTGGTTCCTGTTCTCAGGAGGAATGCTTTCAAACTCTGGGCTTACTTTTTAATCATCGGTGCTGCCCAGCCTCTCTCTTTCTCTCTCTCTCTTCCTTCCTTCCTGTTTGTGTCTTCCATTTTCCTTCCTTCCTTTCTATCTTTCTATGTTCCTTCCTTCTCTTTCTTTTTCTTCTCCTCCTTGTCTTCCTCCTCCCCCTCTTCCTTTTCCTTTCTCTCTATCTCTGCCTCTGTCTCTCGCTTTCCTTTCTCCCAACTCTCAATTCTAATCTCTCTTTCCACTTCCCTAATACTTTCCTTGGGGATAATATGGCCAATGTCTGGGGACTCTGCTCACTCTGGAGTCAGCTGACTGTCTTTATCCTACAGGTTTATTTATTTCAATGCTGGGAACTAAAAACTTTCCCAGGACTCTGATGGGGTGCTTAGCACCTTAGAAAGACATCATGATACAGTGGAAAGAAGCTGGGTTTTAATGGCAGCCGTGGGTTCACATCCTATTTGCCAGCTGTGTGACCTGGGGAAGTTACCTCACCTCTCTGACCCTCCAATTCCTTTCAGTAGAATGGGGCTCACACTACTTGTAGCCTCTTGTAGCCGGGAGAATTCAAGGTGTGTAAGGCCCCAGGCAGAGCCCAACAATGCAGGTGTTCATACATGAGAAGCCACTGTTGTTACTATAATTAGGCAAAGTAGATTAGAGTGAGGACTGGCATGCACCATGCTTAGTTAGAGGATCCTCTCAGATCTAGTTGGCCCCGCCCTTTGGATGGTGCCCAAGGCCTTCTAGATGTGGTGGTTTAGCTGTGACGGCCATGCCAGGCCTGCAGGAACGGTGGCTCTGTGGTTCAACAGGGAACTCTGACAGGCAAAGAAACTATTTTCCCTCCTTCCTCACACATGGCCCTAGGGGGCCTGGGAATCTCTTGATTTCCTATCACTTCCCTCACTTGCTCAAGCTGGGAGATGCCATCATAGCCTTAAGAGCTGTCTCTTCGTTCATTAGCAATTCCATGGTGGGAGGCCTACACTTGGCGTCTCCCGAGCCACTGTGCCGTACAGGGTTGGCCAGTGAACACCAGCCAGTCACACCCAGTACCAAGCAAGTCTGAAGTTTTTGTTGAGGCTGCAAAACCACCTGTAAACAGAGACCGTTGCAAAATACTGCTAGAGCTACCGACAGCGCTTACGGCTAAACCCAAATCCCAAGCATTCCCAATAGTAGTATTTACAGGGTCCATTGACTGAGCACCTACTGTAGGCCAGGTATTTTATATCCTTACTTAATACTGCGATGAGAGCCCCT